GGAGGTCTGAATTCCCAGGAGCAGATTTGATAGGACTTACAATAGTGCCAGTTTCACCCCATCACCTGGCCTTGCATTACTGTCTTTCCTATTAAAATTTTTGAATGCCTTTGCGACATCACCTCGGTACAGTGTCATCTTCTTGTTCTGCTGGAAGTATCTTCTCCAAATATCACCTTCTTCAGATTCTTCAATATCTTTGTCACCGGTAAATCTTAAACCTGTGAGCAGACAGAACTCCTCTTTGCTGAAGGTGACAAGTTTGTTTTGTATATGAAATACAAGCATGTCTTTAACAACATCGCCATTAATTTCAGTGACATTGCTTCCAACTAAATATATCATGAGTTGGCCATTTATCCATTTCATATCTGCAATTTCCAGAATGCTTCCAAATGATGTTGTTTTGAAGTTATTGAGTTCTTCTTCATTCAGTTTCATTTTCAGCAGTCCAACAACAGAATCAACGTTGCAGTAAACATTTAATCTAGTATCTGCAGAACTTCTTATCCTTTCATCACGGCATAGCCTTGTAATAGCCTGTAACATTTCATTACACATGAAATAAGTACAAATAAACCTAATTTAATGATCACCAATAACATTCTGGTTACATTCTTATGTTTATAAAACTAAGAAATGACATTTTAAGTTAATTTTAATATGAACACAAGCATATAACCATAGCTATTTAGAATACTTATAGTAGAAACATTTATTTAGACATGCAACGAGAAGATGAACTAATTAAATCAAAACAACATTCATAACACTTCGAGATTGCAATAAAAGTAAACAATAACCGTAAATTTAAAGTTGTAAACAATTATATAGCAAACGACATACAATGTTATTGAAAAAACTACAATGACATACAATTTATTTATCATGTTCACAAAAATAATATTCTCGTTTGAGATAAATAAATGTAAACAATGATAACAATGTTACTGAAAAAACTACAATACGAACATATATTTCAATTTATTTGAGATAACTTTAATCAAAATAAGAGAAAAATATAGCAAACGACATACCAATGTTTGGTTATCTGCTGCAACTTCCTCGCTACTTGCCATTGCAATGTCGTCTTCAACTTGCTCGCTACTTTCTTCAAACCTAGACTTTTGACTACACTTTTTCGAGTTTCAAAACTGCACTCTTCACTTCTCTGAAGTTACGAGCATCGGCTCTCCACCTTTTGCTTTTGTGTAAATGTAATGATGGTCGCGGCTCTCCACCTCGGCTTTTGATGGTCGTGGTTTTTTTTGAGAACATGTAGTTGCCACCGCCCCACAAAACCGCTCCATGTGTCGTTTAAATTTTTTCAAAATTTATATGTTATTTATTTGTTGGACAACTTTAATGACATTATCAGACATTGAATGGCATTGTCAATGACATTTAAATGTCAGTATGGCATTGCAAATGACATTTCAAATTTTGATTACATATAGACATTCTTTTTCATTTAATATTTAATTACAGAATTTCAGTTGTGAATTTTTAAAATTTATTATATAGCAAAATCCAATTTTCTTTTACGTTGTGCTATTTAAAGGGACTTCATATGTTAATGTCAATGTCAATATTTAGTATAATTGATAAATATCTTTTATTTCATTTATCAAAGGCTAACATTTTGATTATTTGTAACATTTGGATGACATTGTATTATTTTTAGCAATTTTGCTCTCGTAAGAATTATGACATTGCTTTTAAATGACATTGGTATTGCCATTGTCAAAATTTTATTTGTTATTTATTTGTTGGACAGCTTTAATGACATTATCATACATTGAATGGCATTGTCAATGACATTTAAATGTCGGTATGGCATTGCAAATGACATTTCAAATTTTGATTAAATATAGACATTCTTTTTCATTTAATATTTAACCAATGTCAATGACATTGTTACTTTTAATTACATAATTTCAGTTGTGAATTTCTAAAATTTATTATATAGCAAAATCCAATTTTCTTTTACGTTGTGCTATTTCTAGGGACTTCATATGTTAATGACAATGTCAATATTTAGTATAATTGATAAATATCTTTTATTTCATTTATCAAAGGCTAACAATTTGATTATTTGTAACATTTGGATGACATTGTAACGTTTGTTGTAACATTTGGATGACATTGATAATTATGACATTGCTTTTAAATGACATTGGTATTGCCATTGTCAAAAAAAATTATAGAATGACATTCGTACATTCATTGACATTCGAGGTATTTTTCATGCTTTTGACATTGTACGCTAACAAAACAATGTCAATGTTTTATAAAACAGAATTGTACACACAAATCATAATACATATGCATCTATTATGTAAATGTGTGAATTTTTGCAGTATGATGACATTGAACAATAAATATAATTCTACAAATAAACCTTATGATAAAGATACACAATAAAAAACAACAGGATTTTTCCAGAATTCTGTCGGAAATCATACATCACAGGTGTGTTGTATTTTGCAGAGAAGATATCTTCAAAGAAACTAAATTTGTGGGAATCCAGTCAGAAATCGATTGAAATTTGTATGATTGAAGCTCTGCTATCATATTGATGTCGAAGGATGAGTCTCTTACCGTAGTCAACGAAATATGAGTTTCGATGTGAACGGAAAGCGTGATTGGAAAAGAATTGATATGAGTTTCGTTCTTCAATCAACGAATTATTCTGCAATTTGAATTTTGGGAGGAAGATTGAGTGGAGATTCGTCGTTGTCATCTGAGTCTGGAGATTCTTCAATCGCGATTGTACGGAAGGGAGAGTTAGCTGGTGTGCGAAGAAGCTAGATCGGTAGTAAAGAAGCTGGTGGTATTTTTGTCCGTCCGGATGAAATTAGGTCCTATTTAGGGTTTAAAAAGTTAGAACTCCTATTTGCATACGAAGCCTATGTTTAACTCCTATTAGAGTCTTTTTCCCAATAATGTAAACAAGTATTCTGGTTATTGTATACATGATTATAACACATTTCAACAAGTATACTGGTTACTTATCGGCTCACTTACGCACGTACCTGGCCTCTAATGTCATTATAAAATGCAATCATGATTCATGAATGTTCTGCTTATGCTTAACATTGTATTTATTGTTCCAATTCTCTTCCTCAACATAAAATTTATAGTTATACCAACTCTTGATAAACTCAACTACAAAATGATGCAATTCTTTTTTGACTCGAAAACACTTAATTTGTTGAGGTTTATTCCTTCAACCCGTAGGCCCAACACGCATCTTAAGGGTTTCGAATGGAAGAGTGAGTAAGTTAGATGAAGAAACAAGCAAGAAAGGCCCAATAAGAAGTCTCAATACACTGAAACGATTACAAACTCGAGAGGCCATTCGTGCAATGCTATCCTATGAGCTGATACAATTGCTAGAGTGCTAGAGTGCTAAATTACGAACCCTTTACTGTGAAATAAATGCTTCTATTTATACTGCCAAGGGGTAGTTGGATGCGTTGACGTGGCGGGATGTGGACGGCTTGATCCCAACAACCAAATCTTCTGCATTGAATGCGCTTCCCGCCAGGAACTTTGGCTTCCCGCCAGGAACTTGGGCTTTCCGCCAGGATCCTTGGCTTCCCGCCAAGTGGTGGGGACGTTCGTCCCCTGGAGCCTGCTGCCTCGCTTCCTGCTGGGCCCGGAGCCCTGTAAGACGAGCGTCCGCCTCTCCCCCTGTTCCAAGACACCTGCCCATGCTAGGATACGTACGCCCCCTTGGCCAAGTGTTGAAGCCTGGCCCTGTTGGGGACGAACTTCTCCAGAATAAGCGGGAGGTTAACTCGTTGCCTTGAACCTTCCGGGGACGTTCGTAGGACACGTCTTAAGGGTTTATGGGTCAGGCCGCGTTGGGCCATTAACCCAACACACTTGTATTAAAATCAAAGAGGCCATGAGTCTAACATCAAATCCTCTTGACAATTTATACTACCTCCATCCTGAAAAAGTTTGCCAAATTGACTTTTTTTGGTCAACGATGACAAACTTTGAATAATGATTTTAGTTATTATATTTGTATATAATTTATAAATTTTATACTTTTATGAAAATATTTTCAATAAGGAATATTTTGATATAATTTTCATATTCTAAATAATTTTGTATACAATATTAAAATATATCATTGGTCAAAGTTGATTGTCATTGACTAAGAAAAGTCAATTTGGCAAACCTTTTCGAGATGGCGGGAGTAGTCAATAGGCCCTCTCACTGATCAGACATAGAAAAGTCTGCCAATTTTTTTTTGCTTATTTTTTTTACTCTTGGGGGGTCAGGGGGAGGGGGGCAGGAGTAACCAGATCTGAAACTCACTCCATTGAGTTTCAAACACTTGTGTGCCTAGCGGATTTTGAACTTGAGACCTCCCACTAGACACGGTAACCTCAAAGCTAATCGTTGAACATGTGAGAGTTTCAAAGCTATTATCGGCCACCATAGCCTGCTTACTTTCTACCACTCTGAAAGCTAAACACACAAAAAAAAATTCTCCATGTCCCCAAAAGAAACCAAAGAACTAAAAATAACGTAAATTTTTAGAAAACGTAAAATTAATGTATATAAAATTAAATAAGGAAATTTTGGGGGGTTCTTCATGCCCCTTTCCCCTGATATGCCTGTAGAGTGCTCAATCTTGTGTCAAGCGAGCCCTGTAGTCCGCCTTTTCCCCATTTTTTATGTGTCCAACTCCATTTTCATCTCATTATCATCCATGTCTTCAGCTCCTTCTCCTTCTATGTGCCGACGTTTCTGATTTGTCTTGTGTCCTGCGATTAGGGGTGCAAATGAGCCGAGCCTCTCGTGAGCTGCTCGGTCAAAGCTCAGATCGAGTTTGGTCAAACTCGAGCTCGAGCCGAGCTCGAGCCGGCTCGTTAAGCAGTCGAGCCATAAACGAGCCTACTAATTTTAGGCTCGCGAGCCTAGTTTTATAAGTGTGTGTGTATATATATATAATATTAATATAAAGTAATATATAATATATATTCCTCTGCAAGGACTTGACCAAAGCATGTCGTAAGAAGCCACCTCCAATCCCCTAGGATAGAAATCCAGGGGAACCATTTGTTCCAAAATCATCAAAAGAAGCAGAAATGGAAAAGCTGTTGAGATCCATGCAGGGCATGCCAGGAGCACCTGGAATGAAAATGTATTCAAGGGAAAATCTGATGAACCAAAACATAGGTGATGAAGATGCAGACGAAGACGATGATGACAAGGATGACTTCCCAAAGAACTTAGGTAAAGCTCTTAATAAAGGAAAAGAAACCAAGAAGATAGATTGGAAGGAGAATGTCATCAAAAGATTTCAAGAAGCAAACAGGACCGTGAAGAGACATGCAAACACAGTCTCTTACAGGTTAAGGAGGAGGTGGAAATCAAAGAAGGAAGAACTACAAAAGAGGTCGAAGTCCAGTGAGACTGAGCTGTAGTAGAGCCTGGCCATCAATGGTGCGAGATTGAGATAAAAGTGAACTGCGGGTGTAATTATTTCTACTACGTATATTTTATGTTTTCTGCTTAACATAAAATATAGTCTGAGCATTTTTTGAACCTTTATCCGGACCACTATGCACATTTCAATGTTTTTCCTTCTATCAAATCACTTCATTGTTCAGACAATGATATATATATATATATATATATATATATATATATATATATATATATATATATATATATATAATACCGATTGGTAAATGTATATGGATGAGGATCGGGGAGATATTATATTTTCCATTCCCGTAACTCTAGTTTCAGTTAAACCATCATGGTTTGATCATTTTTTATTTATTTTGAACAACATTTACTCTACTTTTAGTTGTTGGGCTTGTAAATTTCAATTTGCAAATACTAAGCACAAATATTCAAAGATTGTTTCATACTTGAGCTCGAGTTTGAACCTGAACTTTCGAGCTAATTGAACTTTCGAACAAAAATTATCGAACCGAGTCGAGCCGAATCGAGCCATGTCAATTTTTGCGAGTCGAGCTCGAACCCGGTTTTTTAAAGCTTGTTCGACCCGAGCTAGAGCTCGAGCCAATACAATATATTTCGAGCTCGAGCTCGAGCCAATACAATATATTTCGATCTTGAGTTCGAGTCTACATAAACTCGGGCTTGGCTCGTTTACACCCATACCTGTGATCTTTGGTCCGCCTGCTATCATCCAATTCTGTCTCCCCCTTTGCTCCCCCTTCAGGATTAATGTCTGTTGACCTGTCTTCCTTCTCCTTACTCTATCCTCCCCCTGTTGGAACTAGTCATTTGTTGCCTCACCTTGAGCTCTCCCCTTCATAGCTCTGAGCCAAGGTCCAAATAATCTGCCACCCCCACCCCCACCCCCCGATCCACCCCTCGGCTTACTGGGACAAAAATTATGCGCATGCCCAATGATTCCACATAAAAAACAGAAACTAGGCAATTTCTCATACTCAAATGAAACACAAAAACTGGTACCATCTTCCTTTTGCAAAAATGGTTTCGTTTTTAGGGGTTTTCCTATGTCTAGACTAACTCGAATTCACATAAAAAGATTCCAATTTGTATTAAAGTTATGCTCATCAACCCTAATAAATTTTTCAACAAAGTTGCCTATTCTTTCACCATTTTGGAACTGATTATGCTTCTACTTCTTTTTTAAAGAAAACGCGGAATCAGAATAATTTTTTCAGAAGCTACTCTTTTATAGCTTCTAAAATCTGCTTCTATGAGCAATTTGGAATACCCATATGTAACACCCCAGCCCCGCATGACCCGAGGTAGTTACTCCTCCACACCCTCCGGATCTCTAGTACTGTCCTCACAAACCAGCACGCGCCTTTACCGCGCACTTTGTCCTCACTCATGCGCGCTCTGAGAAACTTCCTAGGGGCTCACCCATCCCAAAACTACTCCCGTGCAAGCACGCTTATCTTTGAAGTTCTTTGGTGATAAGCTCCCTTAAAAGGAGATACACCTCTTTTCGTATGAGTAGTACTATTAATCTATTTAAATTAAATCTCAAGTGTTACAATCACCCCCACTTAGGAACGCAACGTCCTCGTGACGCCCATAAACCAATCTCAAATCTCAATCAAATCCCAGAATCTTTTCCCTTGCTAAGTGTCTGCCCGATATCCAACGGATCAGCACACTGTTGCAGGGTTTCTCTGATACCATCTGTAACACCCCGACCCCACATGACCCGAGGTAGTTACTCCTCCACACCCTCCGGACCCCTAGTACTGTACTCACAAACCACCACGAGCCTTTACCGCGCACTTTGTCCTCACTCGTGCGCGCCCTGAGAAACTTCCCAGGGGAACATCCATCTCAAGACTACTCCCGTGCAAGCATGCTTAACTTTGGAGTTCTTTGGTGATGAGGTCCCTTAAAAGGAGAAACACCTCTGTTGATATGAGTAGTACTATTAATCCGTTTAAATTAAATCTCAAGTGTTATACCATAAATACTTATGCACTTTCACTCAAATACTCCAATATCTGCTTCTGGTCACTGAAGGAACCAAACACAATTTTAAAAAGTAGATCCAACACCCCCTTATACAAGGAAAGACACAGGGGCGGAGCTATGCCTAGGGGCAGGAGCCATGGCCCCTCCCAACATTTTAATTTTTTTATATTAGTATTGCTTATTAGTCAAGCTTTTGTACTAGCAACCAGCAAGCAAGCAACGTTCGGTGAGTATCATGTTTTGGACTAATGAGAGCAAACAACGTAATAGCACACATAATACGTATGCATGGGGCATGCATACGTGAGACTCACCTGGCCGCACATCCCGTATGCAGTTGCTCACACTTATCATATTAGTTAATATGTACAGTATTATCTCCTTATCATTTGTATACTTATCCGCTGGTTTACAACAACCTTAGATACATAGTTTACTCATACACAACTGTATCATAGTCAATAGATAAGCACAATACATTTGTATAAATATTTAATGAATGGAATGAAAGCCTCACGGCGAATTATACTCTCCATCTTGGTATTAGCAGCAATTATAGTTCGTCTTCTTCCTTTCGTGTGCCACCATGGCCGCACAACCCAAACCACTCTTCCATCCATACCTCGCCATAACTTCCATCAAAAACCTCATTCCCCTTACCCTTGACACTGAAAAAGTCCAATACTCTTCATGGGCTGAGCTATTTAAGATCACAGCCCGTGCATACGATGTTGTTGACCACATCTCTCCGGCGGCGGGCCCCTCTGTACCACCCACATCGTCCACCATCTCCGACGATGAATGCCAACGTCTTGCCGAAGAGGCAGCTCTGTGGACCCGCATTGATGCCGTTGTCTTACAATGGATATACGGCACCATATCCCACGACCTTTTGCTTGCCATCCTGGAACCGGATTCTACCGCCCGGGCTGCGTGGACCCGTCTGGAAGCCATATTTCACGACAACAAGAACTCTCGTGTTGTTCATTTGGAGGATCTCTTTTCTAATACACGTTTGGAGAATTACTCCTCCATCTCAGCGTATTGCCAGACACTACGTACCCTATCCACTCAGCTTGCCAATGACGACGCTACCATCGACGAAAGACGTTTGGTTCTCCGTGTGGTCAACGGTCTGACCATATCCTATGCCACCGTAGCTTCGTTCATACAGCAACTTGATCCACTGCCAACGTTTGAACGTGCTCGGTCCATGTTACTCCTGGAAAAAACCAGCCAGGCTCATCAACTAGCGGCCTCCTCACCTACACCATCTGCTTCCGCACTCATCACCACCACTCCCTCCCGCACCGACTCGGCTTCTTCCTCTTCTGGCCAACGTGGACGGGGTGGGTGCTCTGGTTCAACTCGCGGCAAGGGCCGCGGCAGATCTTCCGACACAAGACAACAGGACACTCCCGTATGGCCTACGGCTCCCCCGCCATGGTCATTTCCTCCATGGGCCGCGTGGATGCAGTCTCAATGGGCTCCTCCTCCGTGCCCATATCCTACCTCCGCAGCTCCCTCCGGCCCATCCCGGTCTACATCTACCGGGATCCTAGGCCCATGACCCCAACAAGCTTTCACAGTCGGCTACCATACTCCGCCGGCACCATCCTACCTTCCTACGAACCTTCCAGCAGCCATGCACACAATGAGTCTCAACCCTCCGGATGATAGTTGGTATATGGATACTGGGGCCACCTCTCATATGACCTCGGATAAAGGTACTCTCTCGTCTTTTATTAATACGGGTAGGAAAGGATCTATCATCGTCGAAAATGGTTCTTCCATTCCAATTTCGGGTCACGGTCAATCTGTTTTACCTTCCCCCTACCCCTCCCTCCATCTTCGTAACGTGTTATACACCCCTCATATTATCAAAATTTTAATTTCCGTATGCTAATTCACTATTGACAATCATGTGTCTATAGAATTTGACCCCCTTGGTTTTTCTGTGAAGGATCTTCGTACCAGAATTCCCATCCTGAGGTGTAACAGTCAAGGATCTTCGTACCAGAATTCTCTATCAGTCTTGTTTTGGCCCTTTGGGCCCATTTTGGCCCACTTGACCCATTAGGGTAGCTTTGCACCCTCCCCTCTTTTACTATAAACCGAAGCTTTCCCACCATGTTGAGGGACTTTTGTCTCTTCTTCCTCACACCCACTTCTTTCTAAAGCTTGGAGCTCCATTAATGGCTACCAAGGCTCAAACTTGTATATTGTAATGGTGAGGAGAGATTAATGAGAATGAGAGGGTTTGGACATTAGACTAAAAAGTCACGAAACCCTCCCGGAAGGGGTGTTGAACTCCCGGGCTGCGGCGAATAAACTCAACACAATCAAATATCCGTATCAAGCACACAAATTCACTTTTTTATAAATCTAAAAAGAGAATATTACCCGAAATAGGACTAAAAAGGTTTTTATAATTCCAAAATAGGATTGTCATGTTTTTATTCCCAAAATAGGACCAATTACTGCCATATTTTGGCAATACCAGACTTCAAACATGACAGTATTTTCTAAACTTGAAAGTAATTACTCTTATTTTGGAAATAAGAAACATGACAGTCTTATTTTGGAAACTTTCCCATCTAAAAATCACATCACTCATTTATCTTACAATATTAGAGGGATAGAAATGGTAATAATTATTCATATTTGAAGAAGAAAAATGAGTATTAGAGTCCTATTTTAAAAACGAACACTCTTTATTATACGAAGTACCCATAGTACTAAATAAACATCAACGTGTTAGCCAAGGCATGCTAGGCAGTGCTACCATAAAAACAACACTTTATTCAAAACGCACTATGATCAAATTAATCAAATACTTAATTAACTGTCATAAGTTCATAACAACTTCTTGATGATCGAGTTAGCCACAGCAGACAGGTCCATCACATTCTTGTTGACATCCTTCAAGGGCGAATCCGTAATTCCCAAACCCTTAAACGCGGCGTCGCAGTTCTCGGCTTCAACCGCCGCGTCTGCCATCCCCGCCGCCGCAAACTTCGGGACGCCTCTCTTGATACCCATCTCCGCCTCCGGCACGTCAGCCCTTACGACCGCGTCGTAGTAGAAGTAGCACTGGCTGAGCGGCCCTCCCCACTCGGGTTTGGCAGCCTTAAGCTCCGGTATCATGACCTTGACCTCGCGGGCTCTCGACCTGACGGCGGCCACAATGACGAGGGCGAGAGTCTCGACGTCAGCGTCTGCGGCGAAGCTCCGGGTGTCGGACTGTAGGGTTGAGACGCAAAGAGGGTAGTTTGGGGTGTTCATGCATGTGTTGGTGATGAGGGTATTTTGGTCATTGTCCAAGTGGAGCATTGTGGAAATGAGCACAAGGAGGGAAACTAGGCCCATATTGGTAACAAAGTAACAATACTTATTTGCTACCCCTTGCTAATAAATATTTCAAGAATGCTTAATTTGATTTATCTTTTCTTGAAATGTTGAATCTAAGAGAAGGGTTTAGGGGATTATATATAGGTATGACCGTATGAATTGAAATATAAAGACACCAAGTCACCAATGATTAGAACTGTGTGGGGAAGAACTTTGCTTTATACGCGTTACCAAAAATATCGAGCTAAGCTAGCTACAAATATTAAATAAATAAAAGTACAAAAAACGATAAATGTGACAAAGAGCATCTCAAGTATGTCGTGTACGTGTCAACGAACTAAAGAAAGAAACAATAATGAGACAAACTAATTGTAGTTACGTGTTAGACCCAAATAGTTTGTGCGATTCATATGAATTAACGATTAAAAGAGCCTTAAAGACAATTAGACAGATGGCTAGTTCAACTTGAAGTGGTTGGAAATTCCGGGAGAAAGAACAATAATAGGGAATACTACGGAGTATATGGGGTTTTCCTCTGAATAAAAATAAGTGTTTTGACGTTATTTATCATTAATATAATAATATCATCTTTAAAAAAACATTAATATAATATTATGTAATATTAATGTGACACATACAAAAAAAACACAGGATTAACAGAGATTTTTTGTAGAGATTTTCTAAAATTATCCAGGATTATGGCAAAGATATGCTGAATTCGTGTCAAAACTATTTGGCATGAATATATCAGTAATTTCATGCCAAAATTGTGTCAATCTCGTAATTTGTTTGTAGTGACATTTGGAATTTGTCAATATTAATCGTTGGAATTTATTTGCCGGCCAGCCGAAATGATGCTATGAGGATGACTACTTAAAAGTCATAACCACGATATATAATGAACTTATAACTTTTTGGAACCGGAGACCACAAAGAAACTAAATTTAAGAAATTAAATTAAGGTTATTTTGTAAAAATGGAGTTTTTTGTTACTTTCTATATCCAATTATTGTGTCAGTGACATGTTTTAGTACTCGATTTTCTATTTTTGATTCATCAATTATTGGGCAAAAGACATCATTAGACCTCGACTTCCAAGGTTCTCCAAGCACTTGGGATAAACCCCCTCACTCGGTATTTATCAATATACGATTAAAGTCCAATTTTTATTCTCCCGATTAATTGTTAGGCGAATGCCAAGATCCCTGGGAATGATGTGTGATCCTTTTATGGAAGTAAAAAACAAAGGTTTTTATTTTTTAAATTATTTGAGATTTACCTTACCAAAAGTCAGGTGGAATTTATTTGTCAGCCGAAATGTTGCTCAAGGATCTATGCTTAAACGTCACCCACAATAATTATAATGATTCAACTGGTCACATAGTTTTAAACTACGTACAAAAAGATTGCAACCGCAATATTATAACTGCGGTGCTTTTCTGATTCATGATTAAAGTCGAAATTAATTTTTTTCAGGCGCATCAAGCCGCATAAGGCTTTATTAAGGATGTTTTTACTTGGACTATAATTTGCTGGTCTGGCTGGTCTGGTCTGGTCTGGTCTGAATTGGTCTGGTCTAGTCTGGTCTGGTTTCTTTATATTTTTATAACTATCCAAGTCTGGTCTAGTCTGGTCTGGTCTGGTCTGATCTGGTCTGTTCTGATCTGGTCTGGGACGAATTATAGTCCAAGTAAAAACATCCTAAGACTTAAGTTACATCCATAGTATCCGTATTTGTGTATCCGATATACGTAGTATAATGTATATGTCATGTATGTAGATGACACGTATCCGTAGACGCATACAAGTACCTAAGGAGTATCATTTATAAATGTACTGCGTTGTTTAACTGCGCAGTTATCTTCAAACATTTATTTGGCTGCTTTCAGGATTGAATTTTTAGCTGAAATTTGGTATGTATAAACTAGATTTAATGAAGAGATGCTCAAAAAATTTCATTAAACAATTCCACGGGGAACCGCCTTCAATGGTGATGTCCGGACAAAGCCTTCTATAAAAGAGGTGATTTGCATTTTTTTGATTAGTACAAAGGCTTATTTGCCCCTTTCCCATGAATAATACTTTCTATCTCTTAAAACTTTGTCAAATTTCTCTTTTTTGGATGTCCCACCAATTTTGTCATTTTCAATTTTAAGTTAAGAATTTGTGATTCCAGTTATTTATCTTTCCTTTACACAAACCTCAACCACACAATTTTTACTTTATTAATCCCCATGCCGGTTGAATTTGACAAAGTTTTAATGGACGGAGGGAGTGTATTTTAGAAAAAAATATTTAATAATATCAACTATTTGAATATACAATAAATGTGATACAAAGTTATATTTCACTAGAAATTTAGTGATTTAACTTATCAAGAACGTAACTAATATCAAAATATTAAGTATGTCATATCATTTCTAATCAGAAAGTGGGTCCATATTATTTTATCATATATTCAACTAGTCTGCATTATTAAAAATTAAATTTAAAATACCCCCTCCCTATCTATATAAAAGACTCATTGCTTTTACACACATATTAAGAAAGCGAGTTTATTTGGCACTATTTTGTTTGCCAAAAAGGGAAAGAGGTCTTTTATTTAGGGACGATCCAAAAAGGAAAGAGATAATTTTATTTAGGGACAGAGGGAGTATGTGTTAGTATTGATCTATATCTCTATGTATATCTATATATTATACAATTGTGAATCACATTATAGTAATGATATTGTCATGTATCACTCTAATATTTACTCTTGGCCACATGTCACTGCAATATTTATTCATATTTAAAAGTTAATAACGTATTTATAATAAGTACATATATGGACGATAGGAAATGATGTTAGGAGTTTTTTTAAAAATATTACCTTAGGAATATAATAATTTCCGTTTAAAATCTAAAAAATAAGTTGTTACCATTTACCTGTTTATTACTATAATAAATATAGATTCAATATAATAATTTATGAAGCAATTGTCAAATTCTAGGAACCTTTCAATATATGAATTTATGAGGAAGATATAATTTGTATTACACTCAAATAATACATATGCATTTACTTCCTAATATAAGGATGTTGGATTGCTTCTTATACATTATTCACAATTCATATTACTCCCTTCGTACAGCTAAGATTGTATGACCTTTTCTTTTCGATCCGTTCACTAAGATTGTATGATATCAAATTTGGTAAAATTTATGTGGTCTTAAATCATTTTTACCAGATCAATTCAAATGTCCAATATCAACCACCTAAATTTATTTTTCATAATAATCACATCACCTCTTCATGTCCCAATGTATGTTAGAGAGACAAAGCTAGATAGTATAATATAGAATACAATTACTATATATTAAAATATAGAATTACAGAATTGTAGAATATACTTTTTAATTAAATAAAAAATTGGTAAGTGTATAGTTCCTAAACAAAGAGTCGTTCTTTGTACTGAATTTAAGAAAAAATATCAAATATAATGAGTATATTGTGGTTAAGGGAAATACTTTTAAAAGCTATAGAGTTTAGCCAAATTCATTGTTACTAAACTGACTTTTAATTTTAGAACTTGGATACACTTAAGAAAAAGTTTGAACTTAAAACTCTCCACCAACCGTATCTTTATATTAAGTTTTATATTTATATAGAGTATATAATATTGATGTCATATGAAAGATGATTTATATAGATTTTCCACAAATGATTTTTATATTTATAAATTAAATAATTAAAGATATTTTAAAGAGAGAGATTTTTAATTTGGGTAAAAAAGTGTTGATTTGCTAGCTTTCACTTGGTAGCTTCATAACTTAATGATCGATTTGGCGACTTTGTTAACCAAAATTGATTCCAGCATTATGTTGAGAAATACTTTTAATTTAATCCGGGCCTAATTAATTTCAAAAATAATATTTATTTAACATTGTTCTGAAAAAAAAAACTCTTTATATCCCAAAATGCTTATTTACGTAAATGTATTACACCACATTATATTTAAGTTGTTTTTAAGACCTAAATAAGGGATCTACACTAGATTATTAATCAATATCCAATTTATTACTCCTCCCGTCCCACTAACTTTGCCGTTTTCCTTTTTAAATAAAGAATTTGTTGTTTCAGTTAATTCTCGCTTCTCTGCACAAACATCAATCACACAGTTTTTACTTTATTAATCTCCGTGTCGGTCAGATTTGACAAAGTATTAAGGGACGAATGAAGTATATGAATAGTTATACGCCACAATTAAATTTCTAAAAAACTCAAGTTCGAATAACAGTGATGATCATCATGCAGTTGTAACGGTTGTATAGAAGAAAGTGTAATTAAATTTTAGATATCAATCAAACAGAGAGTAATAGAGTATATTTTTTGTAAACAAAAAATATTTCATCCACAAATTATATGATAATATATGCATTCTAATATGAAACAATTGTGTATAATAATAAAGTATTCCGCAATTTGTTAATTTTACTCTCCCGTAGTCCCGTGCATCCTACGAGTACAATACTAGTACATATTAATTTGACAGAAATTCATTTAATATGAGACATTAATTTATAATTATAATATCAATAAGAATGTTTTCAATTGGATTGAATTTTTTTGATTTTATCTGGTGTGATCTAATCTAAACTGGTCTTGTTTGATCTGATTAAGTCTAGTCTGCTCTAATGGAAATCAATCCAATTAAAAGTATCTTAAACCATGTTAATCATGGTTATATTACCATTCAAAATTAACATTTAAACAATATAAAAATCGATGAAAAATTACATAGACCATCCAAATATTACCCAAATGAAAATGTGACAAAATCAATCCGAGATACGTGCCGGAGTTCCGTTTGCAAAAATCAATGGCTAAGAAACAAATTTGCCCAACTAGTATGTGTACCCGTACAATGCACGACGAAATATGTGTTTAAAAGAATTGTATGTGAATTCGTCAATCAGAGTTTAAAAGAAAATAAAGTCGACTATGAATAGAACTGTCAAAATGAGCCGAAGTCCATAGGGCTAGCCCATTTCGTCTCTTTTCACAGTCGATTAGAGTTTGCGTTCTTTAGCCCAATGAACTTACAGGTTTCGTGGGTCAACTTGCACGGGTTGTAGGTTAAGTGGTTTGACACATGCAGGTTGCGAGTAAAACCAAAATATAAACATCTATTTTTACATTCATTGTCTTTAATATTGACGGTTTACTATCAAAGTAATTTTCAAATATACTTATTATTTTACAACCCTCGTTGAACTATTATTTGTAAATAAAATTCTAAATCTATAACCAAAATTAAAGTCATGGATAACAATATGACTCTAGTAACTTAGTTACTCATAGTAACTTATAGTCATATTTTTCTCTATATATTTTTTTACGAAAAATAATAAAAATATCCGAAATTTTGAAGGCGTGTGAGCTAAACACCCAAACTTGCATATGTAATTTAAATACCCCAAACTCTATATAAAACGTTATTTGCGCACCATTGTCATGTATTATTTCTTTCAAAAAAAATTAATTTATGAGGTTAATTGCATAATTTAAAATAGCAAATTAAAAGTGTTGCAATATATGGATCGGGGGTAACATTATTTATTTCACAATGGAAGTTTAGAATGTTAATTTTGTTTTCATGAATTCTAAAATATTTTAAATTATGCAATTAACACGATAAATTTACATTTTTGAAAAAAATAATACATGACTATGGTGCTAAAATATTTTTTCCCTATTTTTTATTAGTAATATTTTAGGAAAAACCTCTTTTTTTGAAAAAAAATGTCTTATTTATATAATATATACAGTAATTATTCAAATAAATTACTCTAGCATTATTTATATATATGAACCGGAACACGTTAGATTTGAAAATTGTGAATTATATATAACAAATATATACACATATATTAATATTAAGACATATATGCATATATATAATATAATATTGGAATACAGAAGAGTGGAGTTTTAGAAGTTGAATAGTTTTTTCTTTATTTTAGTATGTTGCAATGTCACGTTTTCAAACAAATAATGTTGGCACATGTCAATTACTCCTCCAAGAGTTCTTTAGGGGTTCGCTTTATTATATTAACTTTACACTTTCCTTTTTAGGCCGTCTTATATTAAACTTTACATTTCCTTATTTGCCTTATTCGGCAAACAAATCTACACCAAACAGTGCAAATCAGTGTCAAACAGTGCCAAACAATGTACTCTACAGTAAAGTCAAATTTATTTCCTTAATATGTGTGAAGTCAAAGTATATAGTTTAATAAGGACCGGAGGGAGTACTCCGTATTATACAAATTGCAAAAGAAAAGGGCCGAGGAGGTCCGAATGCAAAAAGGCCGAAGATGTATGATAGGCCCAAAACAACACGAAGCGATGTCGTATTCCCCATGGAGGAGCCCTAGATACCCCTCACACGGAAGGCACGTGATAGGCTAGACCGCGAAGACATATCGCCGCAATCCAAGAAAAGCACACGAAATATACGGTACTTTCTCCTGGGCCGTTCGATAACCCGCCACATCATCGATCCGAGGCATTTCGAAATCCAACGGTCAAGATCTATCCCCCGCATTGCTACTCCGAAGAACGAAGAAGCTGCTCTCTACTCTCCTCTGTCTTTCTCAAAAAAAAAAAGTCCCAGATTCGAATTTCAAATTCTGCATAAGAATTCCCCGAATTTTCTCCGAGATTATCAAGTGAAGAAAAAATGGCCAAAGCGGAAGACCTAAAGAGAGAAGAGGAACAAGATAAGGAGGCTGGAGTCGGACTCGAGAAGAAGGTCGCAGATGATGGCTCTGGAGATGAGGAAGGTGACGTTGAATTTGATGCAGAGCTGGGAAAAGCCAAGTCAAGCGCCGTAGACAACGACGGAGAGGATGTAGAGAGCGTGGACGAGGAAGATGATGGGGACGACGACGATGACGAAGAGGTGATAAATCTCAAAACCCTAGCTCTTTTTCAGTGTCTCTATCTATTCAGCTAAGTCATGTTACTCGTTTAAAAAATGTTTCTTATGGCTTGATTTATCGCTCATGATCAAACTTATCTTGAATTTGTTAGATCTGTTTATTTTTTATAAATCATGTTTCGAAAATTAATGGTTAACCTGTTTAGGTATTGTAATACGCTAAACATTTATGTTTGTATTTATTACCCTTTTCGAGCCTAAGATCATATTAATTGTATGCATATCTATTTTTGCAATTGTATATATACCACACGATCAAATCTGTGCTGAAAATTTCCAGGTTTGTTGAATTTGTTCTAATTTTTAGCTCTGTTCAAGATTTGAACTTCAATTATTTGCTTATGACTATTTGACTTGAATCTCCTGGAAATTCTCATTTAAAAGTCTTTTTCATCACAATAAACTTCAATAAGCGTTTTGTGTTTGCTTCTCCGTAACAATATCCTGTATAAAATGTAGGGGGAACTGGGAATACAGGACCTTCTTGACAAGTCACCTTCTCAACTAGATAGTGGTAGTGATTATGAGAATAATGAAGAAGAAGAAGAGGAAGAAGATGAAGAAGATGAAGAAGTGGAGGATGATGAAGATGAACCTGGATCTGGTGGAAAGGTTGAGGCCCCACCAAAGAGGAAAAGAGCAGCCCAAGATGATGAAGAGGAGGAGGAAGAAGAGGAGGATTATGGAGAAGAGGCTGAAAAGGTTCCAACAAAGAGAAATAGATCTGGCGAAGAAGCACCGGATGGGAAGGTGAAGGAGGCAGCAAAGGGGAAAACGCCAAGCAATGTTCCCAAAGTTTGATTGATAGTGATGAGGAAAGATTGTTTCTTTAGGCTGTTGTTCTGTAGAATGTGTTTTTGCTTCATAATTTCCAAACTGCTATCATCAAATGGTGTTATGAGGCCTTGCTTTTTCTGTCCTGTAGTTCCTACAAAATATGTCAAAGTATGACAATATAATATGGTCATTTTGTAGTTCAATAAGGATTCTTCTGCTTTTTCCCTTTTATTGCAACACAATCAAGCTGTCCAAATCTTAGGATGTGAACAAGGCATGAGCAACTATGCCCTGAAAATTTGCCATATTGCTGTATACGTATTCGCTACATTATGTACACAATTATTTATGTTTTGTGCACGTTCTATTGGTCATAAATAATCATGCGTTGACACACAATTATGGTGTGTTACATATAATTATAATTTGTACTCAAACATTAGTTTTAGTGCACGTGAACAAAATACCACTTCCGTCCTTTAAAATTTTGCAAAAGTTGACCGGTACGAAGAATAATAAAGTAAAATGTGTGGTTGAGATTTGTGCAGAGGAGAGAAATAACAGAAAGCACAAAATAATTTATTAAAAGGGAAAGTGACAAAGTTTTTTGGAACGTTCCAAAAAGGAAAGATGTCAAAGTTTTAATGGATGAGGGAAGTATGAGTTTTCGGAAAATTTTCTCACATACTTCCAAAAAGGAAAGATGTCAGTTACACGTGATTTAAAAAACTGAAAATGAAAATAAAGAAAGGAAGAAAACAGGAAAATAGAAAGGAAGAAAATGAAAAAAGGGGTAATCGACCAAGGTTATGGTGTCGATTTTCAGGAAGTCAATTAAAAGGGAAAATCGACCTTCAGAGGTCGACTTGCAGGGGGCATCGATCACCAGGGGTGCATCGACCAAAAGGAAGTCGACCCGCGGGGGATTGACATCAACTAAGGGCCTGTTTGGATGGACCGATGGAGTGTTGAAAGGTGTTAGTAATGGAAGTGTTAGTAAGTGTAGGTGCGGGTTCAGAAGGGAAGGTAAGTGTAAAATATAAACTTGCCTTGTTTGGGAGAGTTAAAAAGATGAAGTGTTATTAACGAAAGTGTTTTCATTGAAATTGACAAAAATATCCCCTACCTTTCAAAATGAATTATACATGTTTTATATTCGTATATTAATTCATCTTATCCCACTCATATACATACATATATACTTCGTTTATAAATAATTCATCTTATCCCACCCATTTATGTGAGATCGATGTTGTACTCAACGTCATCATAGTATTTGAAAATAGCTTTGTTGGTCTTCTACGTTTGGAATCCGATTGAGTCTTTGCATGTAATCTTGCAAGGTCGGCTCATAAAAAAAGAGTTGAGAAGAAGGTGAGCTGAAACAGTGAAGCTCGGGAGATGCACGAAGAGAAGAGGCAGATGGAGGAGATTATTGTATAGGGCTGTAGGTGAAGGGTAAAATTTGTCCAACACCTCAATACACCCCAAATTGGGGTGTTAAAAATAGACTTGGACCCGGGCTGGGCCTATGCCCGGTCGGGCCGGCGATTCTGAATAGCTGGACCCGGGACCAGCCCGGGTAGCCACCGGTCCGGGTCCAGGCCGGGCCGGGCCTCGGGTTTGTTTTTTTGGTTACCTAGCCATCCCTCACCCCCACACCCCTAAACCCCCCAAACCCCTCCTAAACATCAAGCCCAACCCGGGGGGAACCCAAACAAATGAAATAAATAAAAAAAAAATCAATTTGGCCCGAACCAGGCCCGGGCCCGGCTGGGCCAAGCCTTGTTTTGGGAGACCTGGGCCCGGACCGGAAACACATCGGGTCGGCCCTACCCGGACCGGTCACTGACCGGGCCACCGGTTCGGGTCGGGCCGGAACAGTACCGGTCCCGAGCCGGTTCGGAATCGGGCCACCCGACCCGAGTCCAAGTCTAGTTAAAAAAGGACAAGTTAAGGGTGTTGGGAAGGGTACGATTAGCACTCCCAAATCATTACTAACACCTCAATTTTTTTAAAATTTATCTCACAAACAAGTGTTAAGGTCGACACTTCTCAACACTTCCATTACTAATACTCTTCAACACCTCAACCAAACAGGCCGTAAGGGGAAGTCGATCAAAGGGTTGGGGGCTGGCGTTGACCTTCGAGAAATCGACCTATTAGCGTTTTGTTAGCCAACTCAGTCGTATTAATGTGTTAATCTAACAGATGTACTCAATTAACACTAAAAAATTGAGTATGTGTACTTAAAAATATCGGATGCCACATAATGTACTCTTTGCTCTCCCTCATACAAGTCGATGTACTTAATTGACCCTTTCCTCAGTTTAACATCATGTACCATATTTAGATGTAGAAATGCTAATATATACATCAAGTACAAATGTTTTTTTTTTGTTTAATACACTTGTTAGTTTGTAATGGAGCCAAAGATTCATTTTTTTGGCTTGAGATTATGATGGAATAAAGCAAAATGGCTCACTAAACTATTTGCGCTTCTTTGTTATGGAGCAGCAGTCAGTTCATGCAATTTTGGACGCAATTTTCTTTATGGGTCATCCGGAAACAGTCTCTCTGTGCTTTAGTGCAGGAGTAAGACTGTGTACATCCGACCTCCCCTTACCCCACCGTAGGTGGGAGCCTTTGCGGCACTGGGGTAAATGAAAATGATGATGACACTTGTGAGTTTGTGACGTCCGTTTAGAAATTAGAATCATCCCGATTTAAATGGGAAAAATTAGGTCATTGGCTTGTCTCTTATCATCTCAAACTATTATTACTAATGTGGTTGGGATTAGGGGTGGACCGGTTCCGGTTCGGTTCCGGTTCGGGCCTGGGCCCGGCCGGGCCTCGGTTCATGAAAGGGGAGGCCCGGAACCGGCCCGGGTAACCCCGGGTCCGGTCCGGGCCGGGCCGAGTTCATGTATTTTTTTTTTTGGCTTTTCCTAATTAACCCCCAACCCTCCCCCCTCACCCTCAAACCACCTCAAATGGCTCATCATACCCAGCCCAACCCAAAAACTTAAAAAAAAATCAAAAAAAAAATGAAATAAATAAATAAATTGGACCGGACCGGGCCCGAACCGGCCGGGCCGGTTCACTATTTAGCAGACCCGAGCCCGAACCGCCTACCTCACCGGGCTGGGTGGCCCAAACCCGAGTCCACTCCAAGTTGGGATTGGGATAACCACAAATCACAATCTAGAACCATCACAACCCATACCCACCACTACTTGTATTTGCAGACAATACACGTTTTTTGACAAGTTTTCGACTGATTAGCCAAATTTATGATCGACCTAGCTAAGTATGATGTTTTTAAATCTAAACTATTAAAAGAAGACAATACAAGTTTACATTAGCCAGCTTTGAAGTACAACTGTACTTCAATGAACTCGTCTATTTTATTTCATAATTCAGCTAAAGTCTAAACTTTGAATTTTATCGAATGTAGACATGTAGTACCTTTGTTATTCTATTATAAAACTTAATTGAAAATTTTACGAGTTTTTCTTAAAAATATCACCAAAGAAATTTATTTAAAAAAATATGATAAAAGTTGCAAATTGAAAAAAAAAAATTACCATGACTAAAAGTATTACTATTGTCATTATAGTTCAAAAGTCACATTTTTTAAACAACCTTTATTTTAGTCATTAAGATTTAATCATTTCCATTTTTTGGTCTACTTCATAATTTTTTTTCTAATGCTAATTTTACACGACGAGTTATGTTTATATTCCATCAAATGAAATTTCTAAACTATTACAAAATTTAGTTGGACAGAGGAAATGCATTTTAAGGAATTTAGGATCTATACTAAATATTTTATTGAAACGCAGAAATCAATTTGAATCGAATACAAATTTGATACAAAATCAAAGAATTAAAAAGAAATGCTGATTACATGAACCACTCTTTTATTTCAAAATAGAAGGCATTTCTTTTGGGACAATAGAAGGCATTTTTAAAGATGCCAATGTGAAGTCGTGAAGATACACCAAAAAAGATGGTAGATTCGTAGTAATTTCTAAAAAAATATATGCTCCTTATATTGTCCATTTTGGATCCAACGGTAAACATGTCTAAGCACCAAACAAATACAAGCTTTCTTATGCATACACACCTTATGAAATACAGAACAGAAAAAGCACTTCTTAAATCCAGCTTACATTTTGGAACTGATAAATTTGCCAACAAAATCAAGAACTTAAAAATTTCAAATTTAAACTTCAACTCTCCAAGATGTTGTCTAGGGGCAAGCTTTTGATAGTTGTCTCTGGCTACCACTGGTCTCCTTCGGATTCAAGGGCCTTAGAATATGTGCACAATATCATACGCAAGTCTTATGCATGTCAAGGATTACGACAATACTCATAAGTCACAACAGTTATCCAATGCCGTAAATGAAATTATCCAGAAATAGATTATTCAAACTTGAAGGGGGGCGGGGGATTAGAGAGGGAAATGAAGGATACGTCCAGAATAGCACAAACGACTGCACAAAATGAAAAAAAAAACTATCAATCAAACTTTTTTTGACAACAGGAGCTATAATAATGCAAATAATCTGAACTCATGCCAAATAACAACCTAGTCCTACGATAAGCCTATATTTCTAAATAAAAAGAATCATAATCTGTTTGGACCCTAGAAATTCTAGGGGAAAGAAAATGAGTAAAATGGAAATAGATTTGGATATCATATTTTTTGGTGAAAAATCTTTTTATATTTTCTCTAAACTCAGTTTACTTATTTTAATATCTAAAGTGTTAAGAACTACAGGATCTGAATATATGTAAATTTTGAAATGTAATATCTATTCATATTTCATTTCCATTTGTATTTTCTAATGTAAAGCCAAACATAAGAATATGAATTTCTTTAGCATTTTTACCGTTTAACTAATAATTTCTGAGAACCAAACATGCCCTTAATAAGTTGATGGGAGAAAAAAAGATGGAGCATTCCCAAAAGTGCAATAACGACAGGGTTAAAAATTAGATAATCTGGAAAATTAGATAATGTTCAGGGAAATACCAATAGTCCCCCAAGGAATCCATCAAGAATGATCCTGTTCCAGCTGTCAAAATATGCAAAGACAGAAAACTTTGCCTTTGCAATCAGCCCTACTGACACAATTCCCATGATAAGGAAATAAAATATAAACCCCATCAAGCTGGTTAATCCCAGAATTCCAGCAATTACACCACCAATGATGGCCATGAATGTCCGGCTGACCAATAGCATTAACCATAATTTAGTATCAAGTGGAAAATTATCACCAAGGGAAATGGAATTATAACAGAAAAGATTGAGAATGCTTACTATAATTACCTTGTAAATCTAAGTTAAATGTTTAGAGATGTTTTTTGTATCTTTGGACTTTTAGTTTTTCACTTCGATTGTTCGCATAAGAGAATGATGCATAAGTCAGCAGTTCAGCATTCATTGTGAGCACCTTAATCCTAGCAAGTTGGGGTCTGTGGCACTAATTATATAGCGCAACTTAATTTTACAGAATCGAATAACACTAAATTCATGCAAAAAACAACTGGCAATGTTTGGCAGATCTCTTTTTGTCACAAACTGCATAAGGTATATGAGATGAACATTCAAAAATCATCAATATCACAGGTTATTTTCAGTTTACACAGGCATGGCAAATATCATGACACTGCAATGACATTGAGATATTTGCTATTCTCATATCCATGAGTCCATCACGTGATTGATATTGCAAGACCAACATGAAAATCACTGAGCATGACCTAGAATGATGCAAAACTCCAGATAAATAAAAGTGCACTCTCACTCGTAGGGAGAAATATAATATGCAGTTTCCTAAACCAACTACTATTTCACTCTTTCCATTAGAAAATTATATTATCATGCACTAGTTATCTTGCTCGCACTCTAAAACTCCTTATCTGAATTGGAAAGTTATTCTTGCAATTTACTACTGCACAAACATGCAAACTCACTTAATAATAAAAACTAGGTTATGTTTTTGCAAAACTTGAGTCTCAGAACAACAAATGGTTATTTTCATTACAACATAACATACAATAATAGACTGGTTATTCTTATATTGGTCATACAGTCGGCCTACATATCTATATATCTAATACCACTTGAGTGTCTCAGAATAAGGCATCACAACAATTCAACAAACCTGTAGTAAATGATTTTCATATTGGTCTGCATGTTTTCAGCATTAAATGTTGGCAACTCATCTATTCCATTGCTTGATTTTTCTTTTGCCACATTTGAATCATCACGTCCAGCCATTAGTCCTGATGGATTTACTGTCAATAATAACTCGAAATCGTAAACAAAACTGCTCTGCAAAGCTCAACTCTATCCAACAAAGCTAGAATCAGAGGAAAGAATATTACTATAACTCTAGAAGGAAAATTTCTACTATAGTTCATATTGAATCCTTCTTACTTACTGTTCACTAATACTATCAACAACAACACCAATGCTATAATTTACAATTTTACATGAATGCAATACATCTCATCTCATCTCAGCAACATACCGTCACACATCTACTACCTGCATTTTGGTGTTTGGAATTAATTTAAAAGTAAAGTTCAAAAACCTTTTCAATTTTAATCTCCGCTGAATTGGACTTTCCAACATATTGTACTCATACTCCGTATTAATTAATACAGTAGACTTTTCTTGTTATGATTATCATGCTAATCTGATAAAAAAAGTGCCCCAACCTAAGAATTCATCAAATAAATACATACTAATTTCACATTTTATTTATTGAAACTAAAAAGATTAAGAGAAAGATACAACTCAAATGCCCTACACGCCAATCCAAAAAAAATCCACATCCCCTACACACCAATTCAAAAACATTCTGACAGCCAAACTTTACAGCAAACAATGGCTAGTGAGTACTGCTCAACCCCCACCTTGGAACCATAAAACAGTTGATAGTTACCATCCTTGTTTGTCTTATCCTACCCAGCCCTAAATAGCAGAAAAAACAATGTGATATTCCAATATAGATGTGCTATGCTTTTCCCTAAATAAGAGTAAACCAAGGTAGTCAAAGTCCGAGGCGAACTTAAGGCGCTAGAGTACTTGTATCGCCTGAGGGGCAAGCCGCAAAAAAGTGCTCGCCTGACTCGGGTCAAGCGCACTATTTAGAAAATATTATGTATACTATTCTAGAGTGATCAAATATGACATATTCAACATCATATTGAACTAAATGCATTAAAAAGTCATGTTTTTAAAAAACAAGTGGGGTCTGTCTTTGTTGAATTGGCAATTTTAGCAATAGGAATAGCATAAATTATATAGTGTATGAAACCATTAACTGAGTTAGATTATATGAATTTTTTGTACAGTTAAAATAAATATGAAATGATAAGAGGAAGATATAGAGTTATAGACTGTATAATAAGATAAAATAATATAGAGTACATGTAATGTAAACTGGTAGTCAGGTACATATAATATGTTTGAGTTGTATAGAATATATTAGAAGCAAAAAGAACTATAAAGTCTGCATAGATGACTGGAACTGATAATAGTAAAGAAAGAAGATAGACTGAAAAAATAAAATGAAAGGATCACCAAGAAGATGACATAATAAATGAAAACTACAAGCTGAAAAAGAAAGAAGAAAGAACATGGGAAGATGATGATGAAGAAGACACCTTATGGGTTTCTGGCTTCTGTGGGTTCGTTGAATGTGTTTCAGTGCTGAACATGTTGCGCAAGTAGAGCACATAGCAGCATAGGAGAGTCACGATGAAGTAAAGACTCAAGATAGAAGACTTTTCCCACGACTAAGAAGGGTTTAATATGGGTTTAAGTTGTTTTTACCTATTATGTGGACCGGGCTAAATCTTATTATCAGTATGGGCTTATTATTTAAAGGAAGATCAAACAAAAAAAAGGCTGATAAGCCTTTCCCAGCCCAGGCAACATAAGCGTGCGCTTTTCTCAGCTGCTGCGCTTCAGCGCCTAAACTGCGCTTTAGACAGGGAGCTGCGCCTAGCCAGTCTTCAGTGGCTAAACCTCATTTGCGTTGCGCCCGGTGCGCTTAAGCGCTCAGGCGCTCGCTTTTGACTACCTTGGAGTAAACTGTCATGTTTGGGAAATGCCGTCAATTATGGCATTAATTAGTGTTTGCCAATCCTAAAACATGACTAATGGAGTACATTTTCATATACCTCAGGGGCCAGACGGATGCTCCGAAACAGGAAACAAGTCATCTGCATAAAATGCCCAAAACAGGACCCAGCGCCTATGCCACCATCAAACATGGGCCCCAACTCCGCATTAACAGACCTACCTTATGCAGTGCTAAGCTACATCAGCGAGGTTGGACTTGATGATTACTACCCTTAGTCGTTCCCAGGGCATTCCGAACATACGCACATCCAGGACTTACGTCACAGTCGTTATTGCTGATATCACAGCCTGATTCCCAAGGGCTGACATCATGATGGAACCAAAGTGCAGTCCCCAAGGGCATACATCCCATCGCTATCTTTTCATTAACTAGTATTTTTGGGATTATGACATAGGCTCTTTGGGAAAGGGATCCGACTTTAATTGTAATGTTATTCTATCACATTCAATGCACAGCTTCTCTCTAGTTTACACTACCACAAGTTCCATAACCCATCAATGACATTATGATTCAATATGACAGTTCTTTACATGCATTCAAAGAAAAAAACACAGTACTCGGATTATCACATTGTTTTTACACCTATTTCATGAAATTTCTCAACAACCATTACACCAACTAAGTGATATTACAGCCCAATGACCCCAAACCTAAACCCTTCCCCACATTCATTAAATCACACACCCGTGATGACCAAAAGTGGAATTACCTCATTTGTCAAAATTTCATTTTTCATTTTCTTTGTTTTCAAAAAAACTGATTTGAGATAAAGTTTAGCACTTCAGCCAAATCGGCATAATTCTGTGAAAAACTAGAACTTTAGCATTTCAGATAAATTAGCACTAGCATTCTGCAAACAGTTCTGAAAAAACTTCCATAAAGACGGAGAATTTACAACTCCGGCAAGTCGACAAGTTCAGAAGTCTACAAGAAGGAGAACAGTATTGAGAAAGTCTGTTACGTTTTACCTGGCTGAGTAGGGTCGGAAGGACGTAGGGCAGCAGGCAGCTGGACAGGTCGTTGTCGGCGGAAGCAGTGGTTGCCAGAGGGTGGGTCGCAGCCGTGCCGCTCGTCTCTATGTGTATCGATGCGGAAGATCCGAACCAGCCTGCGTTGGTAAGGGGCTGAAACGTTCAGCGTTAGAAACTTGGAATGACAATTTGAGATTTTGGGCTCGCTGTGTGAATAATATTGGGCTTATATTAACAATCTTAATATTTTTCAGGCTACATCTGAATGTAATAACTATAATAAATGCACGTGTACACAAAATGTGTACAAAAAGCGTGTAAATCAAGCATCACTCTAAGTGATATTGGTGTGGAGTTTGTAGTTTCTAGTAGTCGCAATATTTTAAGTTGTGATGACAACATGTGTCAGTAATGGCACCTTGATATCAACTTTAGAGAAAAAATTGTTTTTTTGAAAGAGTAAAAAATTCATCTTAATGACGTTTTCAGAGAAAAATGATAGTTATTACACAAATTAACTTTTTTAACTGATCGGAAGTGGCATTGATGAGGTGACAAAGGCTACGGAAAAGACCTTCATATTTTTTTATGTGTGCTATTTATTTTTAAAGTTTTTATTTTAAATAATTTTTTAATTTTTATTATTATATTATTTTTTTAATAATATTTTTCAAATTTTATACTCCCTCCGTCCCATTTAAAGGTTCTCGTCCATTATTCACATGGTCAACTTAAATCATTCTTAACATTTTGCTTTATATATCAAATTTTTATGAAATTTACATATTTTTTATCAGCATTTGTAGCGACTTTAATGTAGTTTCTGAATATTAAAATTTCGTTTGCTAAAAATAATCAGAGTGTGAACAGGGATCAAGTTGCTTTATCGTCAGTCAAGCATCGTAAACTGAACCGGGAACCTCTATATGGGATGGAGGGAGTATTTTTTATGATTTTAGAATAAATTAAAATATTTTATTATTATTTTATGTTTTTATTACAAATTAAAATATGATTTTCCTATTAAGTTATGGTAAAGGTAGAATAGAAAAATAGAATATACTTTAGTCCTATTTTGAGAAGATAAATGTGCGCACATTCTCTCTCTAGCGGCAGAAGACATAGCGCAATCTAGGGCTTGGTGAGCGGGGCAGTGATTCATTCACGGTGGCTGGTGTCCCAAAATTCTCTATCGGGCAAGGCTTTGTTTGCAGGGCAGCGAGGCAGCGTACTTCGCCCAGGTGAGTGACAGAGGAGGTCCGGTTGGGTCGAGAAAGGTAGACGGCGGGAAAGACCTCTGCGTAGGGATTTAGCCCGACAGATTTACAGAGAGTGGTGTGAATGACTTTCAGTGATTTCGAAAAGCAACCGTGCATCTGCGGCGGCTAGGGTTGCAAGACCCGAGTTTTTGATGATTGGGTTGGCTATGTTGGTTCTGATGGTGGCTGAGATAGGAATTGTACCGGCTGTGTTTGATCCGAGTGGAACGCTAGCGGGTGAATTTGAGCTTCAATTGGAGGTTGGGGGATCGGTGCGGTTGTTTTGCCCGCCTCAAGTGGTGGTGGAAGAAGATGGTATGTGGATGATTCGCCCCCCTCCTGAACCACCGCTACAAAGGAATTACACAACTAGAGTCTGGAAGACGGCGACACATCTGCTATTTATTTATTTTTACTATGTTCTGTTTGCGAACCTCTTTTGTTTTTATTAGGTCAATAAATAAGGGTGGTAGGTTCTTAGTTTGGTTTAATTTAGTTGTTAGATTTCTGTTGAGAGGCAATCAGGCTGATTCAGCCGCTAATAGCCTCAAATCTCTCACATTGTGAGCGATTAGCTCGCTCTTTTTGGGGTGGACTACTCTATATCTAATAAAGAAGAAAGGGGGCCGGTGGGCTTCTGGTTATGTTGGTTTAGAGGGAGGTTAGTGTCGAGTGATTACGTCTATTGTTTGTGATTTCTCCTGGTTGTACTGCGAGTTTTGATTTAATATAATATGTCAACTTTTCCTTTAAAAAAGATAAATAAATAACATAGTGCCATTTATACATTTAGGGATTATTATTTAATTATATTTATGACTATTTGTCTTATAATATCTAAAAGTTGAATATGAAGTGCTTTTCAGCTTTTGGGGTGTCCCTATCTATGCATGACTTGCAAATTCTTTCATATACAAACTCCCTCCGTCTCAATTTGATTTGCAAAATTTCCTATTTTGGTTGTTCCAAAATGATTTTCCACTTTCTATTTTAGGTATGTAAATAAGAATAAAGTGACAAATTTATCCTTACTTTTACTTTTTTTCCATTAACACAAAACATCTACTTTTGGGAAGATGGACAAAAGTGTAAAAAGCAAGTATCATTTATTGTCACTCCTTAATACTTGTGTCAGTCAAAGTTTGCAATTTAATTCGGGACGGAGTATAAGTTTACGAAAGAGTCGAAAGACAAGATATATATAGAGAGCTACATACTCCAAATATATCTACTTATTTTTTCATGTCCCTTTGTTGAATTTTTTGAGCAGAAGTGTATATATTTAGCCAGTTGAGAATACCAGTAAGTCATATATTATGAAATAATAATGATGAAATAATGGCTCATCCTATTAGGGTGTCCTGATGGTATATATATGTGTGTATATATATATGTGTGTGTGTGTATGTGGAAGAGTTCAAATGAAAAGTGGTCTTCCCGTGCAAAGTGCAAAGTTTTCACTTTTTCATGTTTCGCTTGCACTTTTTGTTGTTTGCGTTGCACTTTTTGGCCATTTTGATTTTGGCCAAATTCGGCCAAAATGATGGTGACAGTTTTGTAAATAAACCAATTTTTTTGAGCTATCGCGAAAAAGTGCAACGAAAGTAAGAAAAAGTGCAAGCCAAACATGAAAAAGTGTAAATTTTTCACTTTGCACGTTAAGACCTCTTTTTATTTGAATCATCCCATATATATATATATATATATATATATATATATATATATATATATATATATATATATATATATAAAATAAACAGACAATAAGAAAATTACAAATATGTCCGAATACTATAGATTATTATATATTACCTCCATCTCAATCAACTCTATCAACTATATTGGAGTGACAAATTGTGTGATTGAGGTTGGTGTAGAAGAGATGAAAATGATTAGAGCCATAAATTCATTATTTAAAATTGAAACTGACAAATTTTTTTGGTACAAATAAAAAATAAAAAATGGCAAAATCAAATGAGACGGAGGGAGTATTGTTGAAATGATGCTTGCATCAAAATATTTATATTTTATTTTCATAGTTGTGCTACGGTTTTATAACTGGAGGGCTAATTATATTTTGGAGGAAATTTGCATTCGCCAGAAATATGTTTTTGGTAATTTTGACGGTCAATTTCACATATCAATTTTGGAGTTACATGGTTGACAGTTGACACTCGATTTTGAAGCAATGGAGCCAACACACGTCTTTGATCGTAATTATATCTTAATTCTATTGTTAAAAAAAAATATTAAAAACTGTTGTAGGGAAGTGAGAGAGCTGTGTTCATTACATTAGTAAGCCCCCTTTAAATAGGAGGGATTAGGGTTTTACAAGGAATGAACCAATGGGCCAATTAGCTCAATACATATAATCCCTAGATACACTTTCTATCTGTAACGAATGCACATTAAAGTAATTTCCTTCAACACCCCCCCTTGTGCCGAGTTGTAGATAGAATGATGGTATCAATCTTGTTGCCTCATCAAAACTCTGTCAAGTAACAAAAACCATGTGGGAAAAAATAAAACTTGGGTAAAGGAAAAGAGTGCAACGTAATCTAGTTGGGGTACTCCCCCTCAAGTCTGCATCTACCCTTGATATTTACATTAATCAAGGGTGTTTGTAAAATATGTGCATTTCAATACTTGTCACATTAATTACCTTAGGGAAGGCACACAATAGATGAATATAATTCCTTTAATTCTCCCCCTGTGTGTCGAGCGTGGGAAATTTTCTCAAAATAACTTGCGAAAACGTTGCCAATGAACAAAACCCAATGGGAAAAATAAACATCGGTCAAAATGAAAAGGGGGAATGGTGCACTAAAACGTACACGTCAATTACTTTTGACTGCGATATAGTAATTATGCTCTTTCTTCAACATTGTTTACTTTCGCAAAATTAAAATGTGGGATGGTGCATATTATGTTGTCTCATAAAAAAACCTTATCAAGTAACAAAACCCAATGGGAAAAAATAAACCTTGGTCAAAAGGGAGAAAAGAAAAAGAGTACAACGCACCAATATAACTGATGATAAATAAGTATGTAAGGACCCCCCCCCCCCCCCCCGGAATGCAACACATCAATAAAAATTCGATATGTACTTGATATATACTTTTATCAAGGTATTACGTATATAACATCTTGGTTTATTTCATGGTAAATATATCCTCATATAAGAAAGTATCAACGAGGTAAGAGTATCAATGAGGTAAGGGGATATCCATCATCAGTAAAACTCAAATCACGTTACTTTGTGTTAGAGTGATACTTTTAACATTTCCAATTCCTTTAGAAATATTATTATCATCAATCATTTAATTAATTTATAAGGGATGAATAAAGATTATACCAATTGTTTCATATAGATATCAAAGTACATTCTTGATACTATTTCAATGATGATATACTATGTTTGGTCCTGTGTTATTTTCAGCTAACACGTTCTTGAGAATGTATTATTTGGTCGAATGTGTTTGTCAAAGTACAATCATGCGCATATTGCACTTTTATAGGGAATTTCTTATTCCAATAACTTTCCAATAATGGATATATTTTCTAACATCCATATTTCGACCAATCATGGGAGTGCTAACGGTTTACATTTATCCATGCTAATTTGCCTGAGAACCTTTTTGGATATATGCAACCGGTGAATTATTATTCAACCAACTCGGTGTTTTCAAAACAAACTGAGTTTCCCAAGATCCTTTATCTCAATTATGACTTCCAAGTATCTTGGATTTCTCATTTTCTTTAATATGAGTACATACTATGTTTATATCTTTGACATATAATGATACTTGGAGGGAAAACATAATCTATCTTTTTCTATCCCTTTTCAGTCAAGTGGTCACTTAAATGGGTATGTCACT